CAGCTTTCCTGCTCCTCTGACGCTGCTTGGCCTGCTATGTTCATCCATCTCTACACCTTGTTAACTCAGTGGGTCATACTCTCAATTTTAATTTGAAAGATGTGGGTTAGAGACCCTCTCTAAATATGTGTGTCGATAATTCAGACTGAGATTCCAATTCAGTGATAAGGGAGTGCTACTCTGTTGAAAGTGCTGTCTCTCAGTGAGATATTGAACTGGGGTCCTGTTCATCCTCCAGGTGATGTCAAGGCAAGATTTTGAAAGGCAGCAGCTGGGAACCTGGACATTACCCCTCCCACAAAGAGCACTGCTTCACAAATCATCAAACAGGCAACTTTTCTCTTGGAAGTTTAGGACTGGTTGCTGTGTTTCTTGCTTACAATAACAGGTACTAAGGGAGAGGCCAACAGAAACCATAGAGGAGTAAAGAAAGTACAGGGGCTGAGCTTAAGGAAGGAATGAGAGGAGCAAAGAGGGGACATGAAAAGTCACAGAGGAGATGCACCAGGATGTTGCTCAGAACGGAGCATTTCAGCAATGGAGAGACATGAGGAAAATGCAGGAAAGTTGGATCAAAAAGTTCAGCCATGATCTCATTGAATAGTAGAGCAGACTCGATGGACCAAATGGCCTACTCCTGCTGCTACCTCTAATGGTCTTAAGAGAGACTGGATAAGCTCAGGTTGTTTTCTTTGGAGCAGGTTGGGGGTGGGGGGCGTGGTGGTGGGAGCCTGATAGAGGTGTGTAAGATTAAGAGGGGGATGGACAGGGTGGATAGAAAGCAGCTGTTTCCCTTGGTCAAAGGGTCAATAACAAGAGGGCATCATTTTAAAGTGAAAAGCAGGAGTTTAGAGTGGACTTAAGGAGAAACCTTTTCATCTAGAGGGTGTCGGTGTCTGGAATACAGTGCCTGGAAGGGGAGTTAAGGTGGGAAAACTCACACACTTTAAAAAGTACTTGGGTGTGAATCACAGAATTTTTTTACGGTACAGAGGAATGGACACTTGAGGTGTCATAACATTCAAGGCTATGGGCCTAGTGTAGGGAGTAGTATATTTTTAGCAGTACAGACTTGATGGGCTGAACGGCCTGTTCTGTACTATATGATTCTACAAACAGTGACCACATTTCAAAAGAGCTTCATTGGCCGTAAAGCATTTTGAGATGTCCTGAGGGCTTGAAAGGCACTATATAAATGCAAGTTCTTTATTTCTGACCCTCAAAAACCTATCATATGGCAATCTAAACACTCAGTGCCACCAGACTATTTAACCTGTGAAGCCATCACAGTTATCCCTCACTGTGTATAGATGACGTTAACCAACCTACTCAGATAGTGACACTCCTCTGGATCAGGTGGGGCTTAAACCCCCCCAGGCCTCCTGGCTCAGAGATAGGGACATTACCACTCTACCACAAGAGCTTATCGCTGTGCAGATATCTTTTAAATTAACCTAAGCCACATGTAATATGGACCCTATAGTTCTGTGAAGCTCCTTACCGAGTAACGTATTAAAAGCAGGAACGAAGGGCCCTCCGAAGACAAAGGATAGCTCAGCTGAATGAGGAGCTTTCTTAAATTGGGGTATTCTTTGTTCATAGTAACTTGCTCGGTGCTGGAACTCATACAAAAACACAGGGTTCCCAGCATCTGCAAAAACAACATTGGAAAGAGGGACTGAAACCTCAGCAGGTCAAAGCAGACACAATGCATTCACAGCAATGCTAACCCCAGTCTGAAATCCCAAATGGGCCCAAACCCCTTCCCGTTCACTCCCACTGTATACAATCCTGA